AAATATAAATAGGACATGTAATTGGATATAAATAAATAAATATAAAAAAACGATATTAAGAACAATTTATTAAAAAAATCATAAAATTAATTAAATAAAATGACAAAGTTCTCATTCTCTTATCTCAATAATAAACTCTTTTATTCTTTTTCTTCTTTTTCTAATAAAAAAATTATTTTATCATTATTATCTGTTACATAATTATATATATATAATATATATATATATATATATATATAATTTTTTAATAACAATTCTTTTATAACGATGACATTCAATAATAATTTTTTTATAACCATTATTACAAATAATGTATAATAACGAATCTTTTAAAAAATATATATATTTATTTGACACGAATAAAAAATATTATTTATTAAAACCAAAAAATTACATAATAAAAATAAATTACATTTATTTTTATGAAAAAAAAATTTTAACAAAACTTGACTATATTAAAAAAAATTAAATAGTATATATAAAATTACATTTGTTACATTATTATTTTAAAACTAAAAATTTCAAATATTTATCATTATTTCTTAAATAATAATAATAATAATTTAACACGTCATATATATATATATATATATATTTAATTAACAATATATTATTTTCAATTAGAAATTTAAGAAAGATATTAATCACATTAAATATTCAAATTTACATTTATAAATAAATATTAATTTTTATATAAACTAATTTTTATATGTTTATAAACAAATAAGAGAGGGATAATTTGTTAAATTTTAGATATAATGAATATTTAAACAATTTTTTTATTTTTAAAATTTAAAATAAGAAATAATAATAATAATAATAATAATAAAATATATAATTAGTTGATTTTTTAAATTATTGAAATCTACATAATAAAATTAAGACATCATTGTTGAGAAATTCTCTGTTAAATAATATTCATTTATTTATTTCTTATTTTTTTTAAATAAACTAATTTTTAATATTTCAGATGAAATATGTTTATAAACAAATAAAAGAGTAATAATTTTTTTAAATTTTAGATATAATGAATTTTTAAACAATTTTTTTATTTTAAAATTTAAAATATGATATAATAATAATAATAAAATATATAATTAGTTGATTTTTTAAATTATTGAAATCTTAAAAATAAAATTAAGACATGATTGTTGAGCTGTTAAATAATATTCATTTATTTATTTTTTATTTTTTTTAAATAATAAAAAACTCTCTCTGTCACATAAATTTCTTCTAATTTAAGTTTTCATTAGATATATGTGTTTTTTTTTTAAAATAAAAATGAAACACCTCTAAATTATGAGTCCGAAAAAATTATATGAAAAAAAGGTAATTATATTATGTATACTTAAATTTAATAATATTATTTTATATTTCTCATAAGTATGATTACAAAATAAACTTTTTTTTTATAAAACATTGAGCCTCATCCACGTTAATAAAGGACATTGTTATTTAATGCATTGGAATTCATAATTTGAAATCTTCACTGCTAAAAAAAATTGTTATTTTTTAAAATAATTTATAAAAGTTATTTAAATTTATAGAAAACTCATCTCTTAAAGTTTTTATAAAAATTTCTATGAAATATGAAGATTTTAGTAATGGATCAAATTATTTTTAATGTTACTTTACGTATTGTAACTCTAAAATTATATCTAATGAAAGTAAAAAGTTATTTAAAATAATTATAATAAATAAAATATATTATTTTAATATAAGTTCTATTTATAAAGTTATTTGAAAGGTGAAAATTATTTATATAAATAGTTTGAAGATGCTTTTAGGAAACTTTGTAAAATAATAAATTTTATTTATACAAATTCTTTTTAAGTAATGTGGTCGTATAGTCCGGAATGGATTAAAACAATAGAAAATAGTGTATATATATATATATATATATATATATATATATATATATATATATTATAAATAAAATTATTTTTTTAAAAATATATTTGATGCGGACGTACCAATAATAAATCATTAGATTGTAGTGTAAACGAAAAAAACAGCCTCGGTGCATGTATGATATGACCATAGACTCCAAAATAAGTCTTGTTGACTTTTATAGTCAATGTCTATGTAATATTTCTAAGAATGCAATAAGTTACCAGTAATTTTATTATTTGATAAAGTTTATGAAAACCTTATGAAATAGAGAATCCAAATATACATAATTTGGTAGGATTTATATATTTGTTACTGATAGATTGTATTATTGAAAATAATTTATGAAAGCTTCAATATTTTGAGGTAGAGTCATAAAATATTTAATTAAAAAGAAAATTACAAGGAAGAAATCATGATTAAAGATGCTATTATATTATATATTTTACTAATGTTTTTTATCTTTTTTGCTAAATATAAATGCTATAGCAATCTATTTATTTATTGTAATAGTTTGTTATGAAATGTTATTAATCTCTTTAAACATTCCAATGCAAAAGCATTTTGTATATTTATTGGGAATCGACCCTTCATGATATTAAATATTAAGACATTATTCAAAAGTATCCATTGGTCAACCTTGTTACTTGACTAAACTGTTTATTATATTATAGTACTTCCCTACATATTCAAGAGGTTTTTTAACATAATTGTATAACATACACATAAAGGATGAAGAGATTATAGAAAAAGGATAATAATCACTGTGTAGGACCATTTGCAATGAGTTTATAAACAACTTATTCTGATTTTAAATGCCATCAGTTATTTTTAAATAACTTATATTAATTTCTATAAATTTTATTATAAACATTTTTATAATTTTATAATATTTTTATTCATATTTTACTTTTTTATAACTTAAATAAAATATAATTTTTATAAACAAAAAATTAATAATTTTTAATTTTTTGGATATAATGAATATTTAAATAAATATTTTATATTTAAAAATTCAATAATAATAAAATAAATAATAAATTAATATTTTAAAGATAATGAAAAAAAATCTGCAATTTTAAAATTTCTATAGAAATTAATATTTAATATTTTTTTATAAATTTTAATTAATTTAAATTATATTATATTTCTAGTATAAAAATGATAAACAAAATAACTGACTCATTAAAAACAAAGACGCAGACAAAGACATATGATGGTGTGACTTAATGAAAAGCCACGTGGGTTTTTTGGAATTAATGCAAATGGAAAGTTAGGCAAAAGATCACTGTGAGTTTATCAATTACTCGTCAGAAATGACAGCGCGACGACCATTTAATCTTTTTATTTAGAAATTTATTTAGAATACAGAGTAAAATGAATTAATTTTTATTTTAATATATATATATATATATATATATATATATATATATATATTAAATTAGTTTTTTTAGATCTTTTAAAACAAGATATTTTTAAATTTAGTTAATGTTTTTTTTTTAAATTTAGTACATAGATAAATAACTTATTTTAAAAATTTGCAATTGTTATTATCTAAATTTTTTATTCAATAATTAATAAGTACCAAATAAAATACAAATTTATTTTATTTTAGAGTTTTTTTAAAAGAAAAGTAACAAAAACAGATTTACATGGTTACATAATTACAGATTACAATATTTTAAAAATAATTAAATCTTATATTAATTATTTTAAATTTTTCAAAATGATTGAAAGTTTATCAAATTTACGTTAATATTAGTTACAAGTAGTAGCGATATGTATTTCTTAATTAAGTAGTACAAAGTTTGATACACTATTTTTGGTTGCTGAGGCTCTAAAGCGATGTTAGTCAGTCAATATTTGTTAGGATAAATATTAATAAAAAATATATTTACTTTTTATTTTGGATTGATTATTCTCAGGTTGAAGTGTGGAAACTTGTTTTCTGAGTTCTCATCCAACGTCCACCCTTTTTGACTTTACTCTAACCGGTTTCTGGTATTATATGTAGTTCATACTGCGGTTAGGTTTGGGGGGCCGCATAGATTATTACTTTTAAGTTATTAATTCGTTTTAGTTTATCCTGCTAATTTGGTAAGTTAAGTAGGGACGAACTGATTTCTTAATTTGTTTTTAAAAAAATTATTTATATGATATAATTATAAATATTATATATTTTTTAATGTTTATTAAAATATATAAATATATTATATTTTAAATTTTAAACATTAATTGATTAAAATTAAATTATTTATTATAATAAAATATTTATTATATAAATATAAATTTTAAATTTATTTTTAATATATATATATATATATATATATATTCACACCTCATCTAATCTAATCTGTATATATCTCTTCTAAAACAAATGTATTATTTTACGGTATTTTTAACAACTTAAGATAAATCAAAATAAAATATACTAACACTAATATTAAAATTTCTAATTCATACCAATAGAACTACTTACTACATAATATATTATACTTTTAATATAAAGTTACTATATAGGTTCATTTTCTTTCAGCAAATACTGTATTAACAGAATTATATAGTTATATATTGACGTAATCAACAAACATTTAATATACAACTTGTTTTATTAATATTATAGTTATAAAAAGTTGTAATTCAAATAAAATTAATTAAAAATTATTTTTTTATTAATAAATAAAGTTGTAGCTGTGTGGTTTGAAAAATTTAAGTTCTCAATTAATCATTTTTTTTAACATTATACTAATTCAATGTGTTTGTATGTGTAGACAGTGATAGCCAACTCCCAACATAGCTAGTTTGCTTATCCAACATTTGACTGTTTCCACACAAATAGATCGACACATGTTACTTGTTTTGACTAAGCATTCTGCTTAGTCTTATAAAATAATCAAAATCCACTGCGTGCAAATTCACAAGGGTTCAAAGAATAAGACCAAGGTGATCGACAACCATGTGGATGAACCGTTGAACCGAATGCTATATAAGAAAGCAACCTTAAATTGCGCATTCAGGACCACGTCGTGTACACACAAGTTCATTAATTAATCTCTTGCTACCCCAATCTTCCATCTCTCGTGAAGAAAGAATTTTTCACGAATAAGAAAATGGACTTTGTGAAGAAGTGGAAGAGAGTATTGGGAAGCAGCAAGAGATTGCATCCAGAGAACAGTGGAAGTGGAAGCTACGGCAGATTGAGAAACAGACAGAAGAAGAAGGCTGGTGTGGCTCCACATGGTTGTCTTTGTGTCTACGTCGGAGCCGAGAGAGAGAGATTCATAATCAAGATCAAGATGGCGAACCACCCACTGTTCAAAGCGCTTTTGGAAGGTGCTGAGAGAGAATATGGGTATAGAAACGATGGTCCACTGTGGCTCCCTTGCCACGTTGATTTGTTCTGTGAGGCTCTGGAGGAGATGGAAATCGGCACCGAAGAAGATGGCATGGGTTCTGTGGGTTGCGTGGGTCATAGTTACAGGCACAACCCATCTTCAGTTTCTAACCTCAGTTGTAGATATGTCGCAGGGTCTTTCATTGATCGTTACCAAACCCTTGTTATTCAAGGATATACAAAATGAATGCTTGATAGATCAGAACTTGTTTGGTTTAGTGTAAGCAATTTTTGGTGAAATCATCGCACTTCATATTTGTTATCACTTCTTGCTAGGGTTGGATTTGTATAAAATTGATTTCAAGAAAATAAACTATTTTTAAATTATTGAACAAAACTCAGATTTTTTTTTTAGAACATTCCAAGCATCTAATATGGTTCTGTGTTTAGAAATCAATGAATTAATTTAAATTATATATATCAGACCTAGACCTAATATACGGGGAAGATGTCGTCAACGACAGGGACCATCTCTCCAACACCACCATCCGGTTCATTTTTTTATTGGTTTTTCTTGATGTTCTGGGTTTGGTCAATTACCATAGTTTCTCAAAGGTTGATTTTCCTTCTTTTTATTTTCTAATAATTTGTTGTATATAAATATTGATTTGTTTTAAATGACTTTAAGTTTTTTTAGCTGAGTTATAAATAAAAAAAATTTGAATAGTCTTAACGTTTTGAATTAAATTTTCGACTATTTTGATAGATTATGCTTGTTTTTGGAAAATTTATAATTTTGATCACGAATTTACCTTTTAAGAGGTTGTGTTTTTATTCAAAAAGCATCATTTTACATTAATAATGTGTATTTTGTTGAAATTTATTATAAAAATTTATGAATTCTAAAATTATTAAAAATTAAAAAATATATAATTTATAAAGTCAGGTTTGTAAAATAAAATTTGCATCCGAATATTATATAGTATTAGTTTATCATTTCTCTATTATTACCCACAACTACTATTATGTATTTTAAAAAATAATTAAAATCAGGTAGAATTCATCCAACTCAGGTAGAATCCATAACACTCATTATAACAAATTGAGTCAACAAAACTTCCTCAACGAGTTTTTTTTTTTCTTAAAAATTTTTGCATAACACTCTTGTGAAATGTTCACATAAATATATATAATCTTGACAAATTTGATAGTGATTTATCTTTTTCAATTTGATACTCACTATAAATTTGAACATTTTAACTCAGTGCAAAATTTTCACTTCCACCATGAAATTTTGGGTGATGTTCTTCTTCTAATCTCCTCCATATTTTAATATATTTTGCTTGTTATCCTTGTTGGTCGAACCATGGCGTCCTTTTCCTTTCTCCATGATTGTTTTGCTGAAAGAACCTGCAAAACCAAGTGGGTTCTTCATCGTATATTTATGACTAGTCACATATATGTAATTTTAAGACTAAAATTATTTTGAGAGGATTGTAACATCTCTTTATTTCTAAATTTATTTAGGTACAAATACTATATAAATTAATATGTTATCTTATTTTAAATTGAATTTTTCTTTTATAAATGTTTTTAACAATTATATTACAATTGTATTTTACCTTATAAAAAGGAATAATATTAACTAATTTAGAAAATAATATGATTTAAATGAAACATTAATCTGCGTGTAAATTAAAATAAGATTTGAAAAATATTAAATTTTTTTTTGATAAAAATATTAGGAATTATTGTATGTATGAAAATAATAAATGAAAATTAAATATTTGCTTGGTGTTAAGATTAATTAGAAGAAGAGTATACAAATTAATTAAATAAATAAATGAGTGATTTTCTTTTTTCTTTTTGTTTAATATAAGATCAAAATTTAATGAGAAGAGATTTTTTTAAAAATTTAAGAATCAAGTCATTTCTTGTCCAATCACAGGTTGATATTTTAGAATTTTTAATAGAATAAATTAGTAATTTATAAAAGAGACTTAGTCACAAATTATATATTACAAGAGAAATCATTTAAATTCAGGTTAAATTTATTACTTCTAGAACTAACTAAATAACTTCTTAAATCCTATAAAATCGATCTGTTCAATAAGATCAGGGTGTAATTAATTAATTTATATATATATATATATATATATATATATATATATATATATATATATATATATATATATATATATCAGGGTGTAATTAATATATATATATATATATATATATATATAATATTATCATATCTTCAATCATTAGGTTTACCAAAATTTAAAATTATTTTGATATCATCTTACTGAATCATACAAAACTTTTAATCCCTCCAATAAATTGTAGAAAATGTCAGTGCTCGTTTATTAAGGTAGTTGGCCAAAAACCAAACAAGTAATATTATTTCATTGTTATCATGCACACCAACCAACCACCTTCATGTAAACAAACCATACTATAAACCAATCTTCTGGTATATAGTAAACTAAAAATGATAAATGTCACCTACTATAGTAATGATCTTGCATTTGTTGTTAACTGTTGCTACTAGACATTCTTCAACCACAATATAACAAATGTAACCAAAACAAACTGATACTCATGGTAATTACTGATGGAAATTAATTCATATCGATCTCCATCAGTGCTTCAAACGTTTTCATGACAGAAGATGGCAAACCAAGTAGCACGTTTATGCCTTTTGTTTCTTCATTGTTGGGTGATAAGAACAAAATGACTTCCTTTCCTGGAAGGGTTACAGGGCCGAAAAAAAAGGGCTTTCCCCATCCGAAATCTGCAGTGTTGAAAGGTATCCTAGTCCATGTTGTGATCACAAGGCTTCCTGTTAACGAAGGCTTTGCTTTTTTGACTTCAAAATAATCAATAGCGGATCTCATGTAACTGTCTGTGACCATGTCAATTGCCTTGCCAATCAATCCAACAGTGTGTGACAGTGGCTTATCCAGCAATTCCCCTACCTTGCATATAGCATTGGACAACACAATGGCATTTCCAAAGTACCCCTTTGGTGTTGGAGGCACGAACCTGAACCTTCCATCAACAGCAAAAAGTAGCTTCGTTTGTTGATTAGGGTGCATCCCCAATGCTTCAGTTCTAGCTCTCCACACAAAAGCTGTGAGTGCTTCAAAAGTGGAGCACTTCTTCACAACACCATCTTCTGTGGCTCTTTTCTTAAGCAGTTCAAGCTTATCTGGGTCGAAGTTGAAGGACCTGTAGAGGATCTCTTCCTCGTAGAGTTTTCTGTCATCTGATATATCTTCAATTTCATCAAACTCGTGGTGTGGAAACTCTATTTTGGGAGGGTTTCGTGCTCCTTGTATTGTTCGGTCTAGAAATGGTGAAACGCTCAAGTCCAACCCTCTTGCTGTCTCTCCCCATGAGTTCACAAATTCCATCGCACTTATACCATCAGTCATGCAATGGTTCATGTTTACCCCCAAAACAAATCCTCCACATTTGAACTTTGTTACCTATAAGAGAGGGTTATAGGTTGCACCTTGAGTTAAACATGTATATATACAAGAAAGATCTGTTACCATAAAATTATTTATTTATATGTTCCATTAATTACATAATAACGAAAACTAAAAAAACAGGTAAACATAAAAGCTTTTGTTCATAGACATATGCTTAATTTTAGCCACTTTATATGTCTTGAAATATATTAGTCATAAGAATATCCATAATACATACAGTGTTCATCATAAATTCTTAAGATACTTACTAATCGATATTCACTTTAATTTAAAAGAAAATTATAAAGCAAAATATCAAAATAATACTCTACTTTTAATCAGACAACATAAAAAAATTACTTTTTAACAACCTATATTTAACCAAAAACTAATGATATATCAAGTTATGCACTTCAACTGAAACTACCAAGAGTAGCTTGGTAGTTTTGATTATTTTGATGTTGATTGAGTGGATTAAAAACAGCACCTGAACAAGCAAAGGAGGTATCTCAAGTATGTTGGTTGCACCAGGGATATCATAAACCACTTTCCCAAGAGTTTCAAGGTCAGTCTCTGTCAAATCCCCCAAGTCCTCTACCACACAGTTTGCTTCAGCCTCAACAAACACAGCACCCTCACCTGTGCAATCCACAATAAGTTTCCCTTCGGAACTGATGACTAACCTGCCAGCCATAGGGTAATAGTGAACAAGAACCTTGGACAAAGAATCCTTGATGACTTGTGCTGCATCCTCGTTGCCTCTACATGCAGACTTATAAAAGTAAACTGTGCGAACTTGATGTGCTATGTTCTGGTCAAGGTTTGAAAGGAAGTAGAGACCCTTTTTCGTTTCTTCTGCAGGTGGCACCAGAGTTGGTTCTCCTTGCCTCACTTTCAGTTTATTTGCCATATATATGTATCTGACCACAAGTGAAGAGTGAAATTTTTGTTATGAAACGTGTGTGCAAAGTAATTAGAACAAAAGTCAGTGTAACACAGTGTACAAGTGTAACAAGATGACAAGATTAAACTTACAACGTTGTTATTGCCAAATTATGAATATGAGAAAAAGGAGTTGCAGAATTCACTCAGATCAGATGTTTGCTAGTAAACCTAGAATGGTGAGAGAAAATTGATACACGGAAATATAGACCGTTGAGATTTGTGCAAATTCTATTTCTTCACAAAGAAATATATAGGAACAGGTTATAGCCACCTGCATTGGTGAACAGAGAATAAGCTGTTCTTATTAATTCTTTTTTGACCTGGGAAAATAATTTTACTATGACAAAAAGAGTTAATACATACTTATTGACTGTGTAATTAATCTTTTAACAAAAAATTAGGTTAATGTAACTTTTATGATGATTATTATAAAAGGCCACAAATATATTGCAAACTCAATAAAAGTCATCACATTCTTCAACAAAAAAAATATTGCAAATTCGATAACCACCTATATAAATATCTTATGGCAATCATCAAAATCAAAATCTAAAACTCTATATGTAAGAACCATAATGACTTCTAACTACATGCTCATTATCACATCATCAATATATTTATGACTCTTACTTAACTACTATGAAATATTGTCATAATAAATTGATCACTTTAACTAATAAGTATTTATCTACACACGTATCAGTCAACACATGTTGGTGTACATCATACATTATACTGTTAGAAGAAAATACTATTGAATATCCAATGAAATATATTTTATAAGATAAAAACATATAAAAGAATAGTATATATATATATATATATATATATATTGAAATACCGACCAACGTTCTTAAAACATACTAAAAGAAATTACGAGTATATTTGTTTTGAAAGTGTCAATCTCATTTTATAAATCGAATCGATTTTATAAGGTTTTGTTTTAAAAAATTATGCAAAACAAAACTATGGAAGTGGAACTTTTTGGTGCAACTACCAAATTTTCTTATATCTGTACATGTTGACAACTTGCTTCATGATAATAAATAAGGTTATTTTTTTAATTGTCATTGGTGTGTGGTTATGAATATATATATATATATATATATATATATATATATATATATATATATATATCTTTTAAGTGTTCTGTTTCTGAACATAATTGCAGTTCCACCCAATTTTTCTTAATGGACAATACACTGTTTTATTTTTATTCACTTTTTCAATATTTTTTTCAAATTAATATGATGTTTGATTGCAGAAAAATGGTAATAAAGGATAAGAAAAGAGAAGCAGTATTCATGAAATATTGTTTTGGTTTCTCTTTCTATCTTCACAAATCAAAAAGAGGAATCTCTCTTTTTCCTACCAAGATATGAAACCAAAAGAGATTAACACGTTGACTTGGTTTTCTGGATATAAGTTATTGATATCAGAAAATAAAAGTAAATTACTACATGAGAAAAGTGAAGTGAAAAGATTACTTCAAACAAAGCCATTTCAAAGACCCAACAAATACAAATATTTGTATTAAATTTGACTCAAATTATAGATTCAAATTTTAATAATATATTTTTAATTTGAAAATAACATGTTAAAAAAAATAGTCATCTCGTGATGAAAGTCTAAGATATTAATAATAAACTTTAACAATGAATAATCCATAGCAATAAAAATTTACATAAAAATAAATACAAGGTGCAAATGCTTATCAGCAATGAATAAGGAAAGCCATCACAATTCACAAGAGTCTTCAAGTTTCTAAGATTCAATCTAGTCTATACCCATGTGAATAAACCTATTCAGTATAAGAAATAAAATTAAGATCATAAATAATACAGAGAAAGGGGTTAAATCTAATTGGAACTACAACCATGTTGAAAAAGTACCTATCATGGAAAAGGGTCCCAACACAACGAAATATCCATTAAAACCTACTATAGAAAGAGACGGCTGTCACGAGAATCATGGTGAGAAAATTCAGCTTCGGAATGAACCACAAGCATCTATTTTCAGCACATGCATATCATTTATACAATCACGCATCATCTTCATCATCCCCAACATTAGATGTTTCCTCTCCATCGTTATCAGACATGTTATTAATTACATCTGTAATTATATCTTTCACCTCTGCTTTTCTATGCATTAAATCCACGTCAAAGTGAGTACCTGCCAACATTTAATTACAAATAAGTTTAGCTGCTGAGTTCACAAAATCATTTCCCATCTTTTATTCGGGGGTGAGGGGAATTTAGCGAAATAGATCATACCAAGTTGTTTGAGGATATCAGATAAAGTTGCCTGCATCAGGGAATATAAAAAAAATTAGAAAGAAAATGTATAATTTAAAAAAAAAAATACATGAAATGGCACCGAAGAACATTACTTACTTTATTGAAATCTACCTCCTTTAAAATATCAACAACCACTCGATGCATTTCCTTCTTACTAGGTCCGGCTTTATCCTGGTCACTACTTTTACCTTTGCCTGCCAATGAAATAAGGACGGAACCGGTAAATATGATAAAATAAGGCAGTCCAAGCAAACTTTATTAAAAAAATCAGTACTAAAAAATTGAAATATTTCATGTAACTTGTCCAAACAAAACACGGTTATGTTACTGGAGGATAAGTTTTCCCTGGACAACTCGTGGAAAAATGATCATAGGTTCCAAAAATAACTTTTGAGCAACTAACAAATTATGGCAACCGGCATTAGATTAAGTAGCACAGATCATATTATCAACTTCAATGAAAAAGACCCAACCTTCATCCTTAACTAAAGCCTTTGAAGACTTATCAGTTTGTTTTTTGTTTGCAACCTTCCCTTCCGATTGCTTGGACTTCGAAGCATTGTCATTCAGAGGTTTCTTTGAAGTAGATTTTTTAAAAGTTTTTTCGTTGCTCTTGGCACCCTTTACAATAGTCGTCTTCTTTACATGTGTTGCTTGATCTTCCTTCAGGGTCTTTTTCGAAGACCGTTTGTGAGCATTTTCTTTATCTTCTTCCTCTTTCTCTGACATGCTTTCGTCATCATGATCACTTTCACTTTTTGACCCTACGACATCGTCTTCCTCAGAATCAACCTTTTTGTCTGAAGCTTCGGACATATCACTGTCCTCGATGTCAGAAGACTGTTTTTGCTTTTTCCCAACTTGTGAGGGCTTCTTTTGCTTCTAAAGCCACATGAAATATAAAGAAATCAAAACAAGAGAAAAAATAACCTTTAAGTATGCCATAACTAATGCAGCAAGGCAGAATGAATTTCAAGCATATCATTACAACACACCTTGGCAGGTGCTTCAGATCCTTCCCCAGAAGATTTGTTTGGGATTTGCTTTCTGGCTCGTTTTTTACCTTTCTGTAACATAAAACCAAGCTTAAAAAAACTAACACAAAATAAAAAATCAGGAAAAATAACACAGCATATTTATGAATTCATAAAAACGGAATATTATTGAATATTCTTTATTATGTCTCAAATAAAGAATATAATAACTTATTTATCTTGTCAAAACCTTTAATCATAATTAAAAATTAAAACAATAACCACCATAATATCATTAGTCTCAAAATGTTCAACAATGACGAAGCGTTTCATTAAATTCTAAGACTAATTAATTTTACCTAACGACTTAAACAACAAAATAGGACTCAACTACACTAGTACAGGGTTTACATGATTTACCTAGCTATTTTGATTGATTCAACTGTTATATTTAAATTATACAGTTACAGAGTTCCCAAGTTGAAAATGGCAAAATTCAGACAAAATACGTCTCGATCACATGGTTGAATTTTGTAAGTTTGGCACTTGGGTCTTCAAATAGCTAATTTTAGGATACTTGGTTGAAATGGAATAGACAATTTAAAATAACATGAATCTATAAGTTGTAACAGTGGATAAACTGTATATAATAGCATTAATTAATCCTTATCTGTATACAATAATATGAAATAAATCACCTTTTCCTTATCAGCAAGAAGAACATCAGTTGTAGCATGCGGGGACTCCAAAAATTCAAACAACTTAGCAGACAGTTCCTCCTGAAATGCCACATTGATAATAACTTTTTTATAAAGACAATTGCAATACAAGGGTGGGAAAATGTTATTGATCAACACTTACCTTCTTCATACTGGTCTTATTTATTGGAATGTTAAGCACATTACAAAAATCCACCAACTTTTCTTTTACACATTTGTCAATCCTCTCCCTTGTTTTTGCCCTCTGTTTTTCCTGCCAAGAAAGGGACCATAGCATAAGAAGGTTAATACAGACCAAGCCATTCAATTTTTTAAGACAACATGGACACTTAACCAAAATAAATAAACAAAAGTGTCAATACAATAACGCAATCCATTAAGATTCATCTGCACAGTTATAAACAAAAGACAACTAGTGTTACAGTATATAGTGCAACCTACCTCGTTCTCAGCCCACACATAGCCAGAAAACAGTCCTATATTTCTCTTTATCATGTTTGCCTACACAAAAAATACATGTTACTAGCATTCAAGCAGCAGCCAATAGCCAGCGTTATAGTAGTTATCCACGTTTAATTTAAAAAACAAAAAAAGCATGAAAAGATTATGTCAAATAAATAATGACAAAACATCTGAAGAACTAAGTTAGTCTGTCACCTTTGCTATTTTCCCAAAGAGTATACTATGAAGCGCGCGCAGGTTGTCGTCAGCTTTTCTCTTTGATAACTTGAAAGCCACTGAGAAAGTTTTCATGTAAATAGCAAAACTAAAAGACCGATCTAGAGAAACATTACATTAAGACTATAAAGCAAAATACCAATTTAGAATTCTGCAAAACATAATCTCAACCACCACGAGAGTGAATGCAATTACAGAAGAGCAATTTGCAATTCCTCAGTTCATCATCGTTCACATGCTTCAAAGAAAAACGGCCAAAAAAACGCAGCCACCACAGAAACCAAATTTTGCAAATCATCAACCAGATGAAGCACATTTCATTGACTATTATGCATGTTATCTTAAGAAAACTTGAAAACACATACCTCTCCATAGGAGCCTTTTTGTTACCATATGGCAATTTGAAGTAAAATCCATTAAGCAGATTATTTTAAATGGCAACTATGGTTTTACTACTATGGGTTTAATTTTTCATTAAAACCAGCTTCAGCAAAAATCAGAAAAGCATGAAGTTTAACTTCTCAAAACTGGATATGCAATAGAAGATACAGTTGAGAATGAACCCTCACTCGTGTCAATTGTCCAACCCAAACATTAAAATGAGTGCACGCATTGGAGGCATGTTGGACTCTTGGCAGTAGATTAGCTAAAGGCCTGGGGAATTTGTAAACAAACTAATTTAAGAAAGGAAGTAGATTATGGAGATCTTGGAAGATCATAGAGGTCCAAAGAGGATGAGTATTGAACAATTAGTTGATGAATCATGAACACATTGAAAATGAACTTCTCTATGGTAATCATTATTCAGTAATGATATGAGGATGGTCACAAGGGCAGTTGTTGCTGTAGATGCAGGTAAAAACACAAGACAAGCCACAAGGTTAATGCAAGCAAAGTTAGCATAAGAAGGCACAAGTCTTTTCTTGAACCATGATACTGAAGAAATGTATTTTGAATTGGACGAGATGAGACACGTAACTACTTTGAAGATATTAATCTAATCTAAGAACAAACAAGTGGCAAAAGTTCTGGTGTCCAATCTAATGATCGTTCCATGGATGTAACATTGGTGTTTTAGTTCCCAAACTTAGGGTTCTTTTGGTATGAAATCTACATTTTCCCACCTATGTTTTGGCCATGAAGTTTCTGTCTTCAGTGATTGATACCAAATTATAGTCACAAATATACTGAATATATCACTTAATTTAATATTTTAATTTTATCATGAATGTCATATTTGTGTAGATCATTTAAGTTGCAAATTGATGGGAAAAAGTCAGGATTTTAGCTCTTTTGAACAGTCACTTGTTCTGAACATTAACCCCTTTCTTGTCTCTTCTACCTTAAGACAATAAAACCAAATTCTCTTTAACCAGAAATAATCCATGAGACCACTTAAAGACGCAAGTGCTAAAACCCCAAACCTAATCCAACAGACACATAAGACAACATTTACAAATTAATCCACCCTCTAACTCAGGACAGTATTACGGTTGCAAACAACTTTCAGAGAAGGAACAAGGCATCAATAAGACCACGCAATTTCTTACATTACGGACTCGCTCACAAATTCATGTAACAAGAGGCCTTACCATTTGGGATATCTTTGAGCTGCGTACCGCTGCCCTGAAACCCAAAGAGATTCATTTCCACGTAAATCCAACACTTCTATTAATTCGACGAAATGGATAACCACAACATGAAATCTCAAAAAGCTCTTAAGAGTAAAAACATACAAATTAACATATAATATATTATTACCTTTTCAATTGACAAAGGTTTGAAAGAGGAATATTTGGGAAACTTATCAGGCGAAGAAACAGTGTACCTATCCACCGTTTTCCTCTCCCTAGTTGGTCTCTCACTGACTGGCGTAGCGTAACCGCTTTCTTTCGTTGACTTATTTGACTTCGCTTCGCCGCGCTCCTCAATCTCTTTTTCCTCTTCATTCTTCTCTTCTTCTACCCGATCCTTTGTCTCTTCGCCTTTCTCCTTCACATCGTCCTTCACCGAATTATCCTCTTGTTCGGTGTGATTCTCTTCAGCTTGGGCTTCTTCTTCCCCATGAGGTTTCTCGTTTTCTAAGATTTCAGAAGACATGGTTGACAGAAGATGAATTCTGAAGAGAGTAAATCCCTAAGCAGTTAGAGAGGAGAGGTGAGTTATGATTAGATCGGAAAGAGTGAGGGTAATTGTGATTGGAATCGAGAGATAGGTAGATAGAGAGGGAAATGGTGAAATGAAATTGGAGGGAAACGAAACAACATGAAGCGCGCTCTTTACTCGCGTTTCAAATTTGATGCCAATTTTTTGAGCGGTTTTTCACACACGCTTTTCACCTTCTTTTCTTCATTACCCAACAAAAAAAAAAAATTCAATAAAGTGACAGTGAAAGTAAAATAGACACTGCGCTTGTACATAAGTAGTACTACATGCATTTGTTGTGACAAAAAAAAATTACCTACAAAAATTAGATAAAAAATTAAATTGCTTGATAATAAAAGAAATAAAGCAAAATTTCTTTTCTTTTATTTCGTATTTGTATTTAATTTTTATATTTTTTTCTATTTTTACTTTTTATATAAATAAAGCAAAGTACATGTTAAAAAAAAAACCTGATAAACAATTCCTTTACTCTCTTCGCTTCCTTTACTCTCTTTTAAACAATTCCGTTTACCTTTTTTTTTTTCTCACATTATTTTTTTTTTCAGAAATATTTGATACAATAAAAACAAGTTTTTTATTTTTATTTTTTTTAACTTTTGTCTACAGACTAAAATTTATATTTTTGTTGTGTATTAATATAAAAAAATTCAAATTGATTAGAGGTGAAACATAAAAAGGAAAAAGACACCTTAGAAAAATAATAATAATAATAGATGTAAATGGTAAGGAGAAGGTAATTGGGATGAAATAAGTAATTGGTTAAGAAGGATGGACAGAATAAATAGGTACAATGAAAGATAAAAATGAGGTTGAAAAATATTTCTTGTAGATTTCAGGTGTTTGTTAATTGAATTATCCTTATAAAATAAATCAAATAAGGTTTAATTATGATTTTCGTTCTTAAAATTTTAGTTAATATTTTTTCTTGAAATAAAAAAATCCTCAAACTTAATAAATTGTAATTTTAGTTTCTAGATATAAAATTGAAAAAGGAAATAATTTCAACAAATATTTTAATATTTCGATTTTATTGTTTAATAATTAGAACTATTTTTTTATTTTAAATATTTTTTTATTTTGAGATTAAAGTTATAATCACTCTAAAGTTTAAGAAATAAAATATAATGAATCTAATAAAAAAATAAACTAATTTGAGGTATAGAATAAATAATTTTAATTTTTGAAAATTGGTTAAAAAATTTCAATATTTTAATATGATCGGAACTAAACCAATCAAACCATCAGATCGATAAATCTGAACGAAGTGTTTAAATCAATAATATAACACGAGACAAAATTATAAAATATGATAAAAATCATAATAATGCAATAAAAACGTTTACAACCAAAATCATAAAGAAGAAGTTATAAAAATATATATATATAACAAAATTTTATAATGAAAAAAAATTAGAAGAATCAGAATCAAATTAACAAAATGAATGAAAAAACCAAGATCATAAGTTGAAAAAAATCACATAATATAAAAAATGGCAAAACCATATAAATCTTATTTATATGAACGAGGAAGAGTATTACGTTGAAAAAATATGGATAAATTTATAAATATATAATTTTTTATTTTCATTCATGACAAGAATGGTATTAGAAAGTGGGCTAGACTTGGCTGTGGAGAAAAGAACATTAGGCCCAGCTTTAGGAGTAAAAAAGAAGAAGCCAAGTTTTCCCTCGCTAATCTGCGCGCTGGAGAGTGAGTAGAGACCCAATTCCACATTTCAAATAATCCCCCTTCTCCTGTTCTGCAGAAATGCCCGTACGCCGTCTCAGACTCGATTCCGACACCGACGAAGAAGAGCAAGACCCACTCCAACATCAACCCCACCCACAGACACAGCCACAGCCACATTTTCCGGAGGTTCCCGTAGAAATCTCCGACGACGACGACTTCATCGACGTCGCCGAAACCTTCTCTCCTCCCCTTCCCTCCTGTCCAGTCACCGACTTCCTCCACCGCCTCGGACTCTCCCTCAAGACAGACTGGGTCGCCTCCTGTCTCCGCGAACTCCAAGCCTCCGTTACGTCCTTCGAACACCTCGACGTCGCCGCGAAAGCCAAACGCTGTTTCGAGCAGTGCCTATTCGCCGACATGAATTCATGCGGCGCTGGCGTTCTCCCTCCCAATGTCGATTCCATGCACCTTCGCGTTCTCCCCGGTCCCTACGTTTTGCAGGTGTGCCCTTGCTTCTTGTTGTTACAATTGTTATAGAGTATCTATGGTATCTTAGATTGCTTGTTAGGCTCTTCATTATGATGTTGAATGAATGTAGATGTTTGTTTATATCTATTTTCCGCTTATTGATACTCAAGTGCTGTCATTTTTTTGTGTGTGTGTGTGTGGAATTTGAAGACTCGTGCATTTTCACCGCAATGTTCGTGGCTGTAGGTTGATGAAATAATTAATATCACTTGTCCTCTACGAGGAAGATATGAACAAGCACCTCCTGGACCTAAGAGGTGCCTCAAGTTATCAATGACTGATGGTGTTCAGAGAGTCTTTGGAATGGAGTATAGGCCTATCAAAGCTCTTGAAGTCTGTGCCTCTTCTGGTTTAAAGGTTTCTTTCTCTGCTGTGCCCATCTCTTCTTTTAATTCAACGGGATAAAGCTTAAATATAGTTCTCTAGGTTGGTTGGTGCTATTTATTTTATTAGAATCGGAGTTTAAATTTAGTAATCTATGTGATCTACTAATGCATGCCTTTACTAAGTGGATTATCGAGGTGAAACTCCTATCTGTTCCATTCTTAATTTTCTTCTTTTTCTGTGGCTTTATCACTTCCATATGTCTGACTAGCATAAGTCATTGGCTCAAGTTTTTTGTCAGTGGAAGGTGATGTATACAGGGGTTTATTTGATACTTGTAGGTTGCTATCTCTAACGTACATGTGCGTCGTGGACTTCTGATGCTGGTCCCTGAAACCATTGAAATTTTGGGGGGATTGGTTGAGGAGCTGGATGCTGCTCGCAAACGGCTGGTTGAAGAAATAAACAAGCCACCTAGGGGAAAAAGGTACCAATTATTGCAATTTGATTATCTGGACCAATGTGCAATGTATGGTTGTATGCTATCTTGATGGGGAAGCTACACTGGTGCAAAATTTCTAACTGGCTTATACTTTTGCTATATGTTCTGCATATGGGTAAATGTTTATTTGGTAGTCTCCGTTGTCTTCATGCAGAACCAAAAATGGAGAGCTTCCTCCTTTAGCAACTAGAGCAACTCTTGCTGCGTGGCCTTCAGATGGAGTTGATTTTCATGCGAGCAATGGCTCCACGTTGCACAGTAATGTTTCTTTCCAAGAAAACAACCAAGGTACGTTTTGTATTGCAGATAAAAGTATTTGTATGTATGTACATCTATAATGTAGTCAATTTCCCGATCTTGTTCTCATCTTATCTTCATGTATGCATTTAAGTACAGGTGCTGGCCCGAGAATACCTGACACTGTTAACAGCTTAACTACTGAAGATACTTTGCCTATGGGTGCACAAGATGCTGGTTCTAATTCAATAACCCACATGACATCAAATGTCGATGCCATGAATGTGGATATGGCTAGAGATACCAATCCTGTTTCACGTGCTAGTCCTATGGCTAACCAGCTCACTTCTGTTATCTCAAAGGCTGAAGAGATGCACTTAGATGCTGGTAATGTCACCAGGGAATATTCTGTTGACAGTCAGTCTTCTAACATGGTTTCAAATGTTGTAGCTGCACATAATGACACTATTCATACAACACGAGAAAGTTCTGTAGCTATCGATTACTCTCCTGTTGTAGAAAATGTTGAGACACATACGGATAGAACTCCCGAAGCCACAGATAGTACTCATCTGCAAAGAACCTCATCCACTGCTTTAAACACTAGCGATGTCAAGATGGTTGATGCCAGTGACCATTCACTTATACTGTCTGGAGACCAAGAGGTTCCTTTCACATACATAGCTAGTTTGTCAGCCAAGTGGGCTAAAATGAAGGAGGAAGCTCTTTCTGTTCAGGGTAAAATTAAGGTAAAAGGATAAACTATACCTACAGTTTCTTTCTTTGCACAGTGATTTTTACCTTCTGCATGTGGTTTTTGAGTTACGTCTATAGATTCTTCAGCCAATATGAGTATCTGGAAACTTGGAATGACTAGTTACCTACTACAATATTGTCAGAATTTGTGGTCAGAAACCTCGTGTTTGTATTCTATCCTCTTTATATTATGTGTCATATTGTTTGAATTTGAGATTTGAATACCAGCCATTTGTTTCTATTCGGTAGTGAATTTTTCTTGGATTGAATTTCTTTCAAGCATTTCATAATTCTTCTACTAACTGATGTTTAGGTCAGAGTTTTTGCAATCTTGTATTTTTCACAATGCAAAAGCATTTTTTGTAGTGTTTTTTGACTGGTGTAAAAGGGTTCCAGTATAAGAAAAGGACAACGTATGAACTTCAGGCATATGTAGATGATGGTAGCCTTATTTCTGAAATCCTCGTTGATCATAATGTGAGTTTGCTCTAAAATTTAAGCTTTTATGTGATGGTCTTTATCTTTTAACTATAATAAGTTGATCAATGATAGAAATACTTTAGGTTGTGGAGAAAGGAATTGGTTATTCTCCGGAGGAGGTAACTTCGGCTCTTTCTTCATCCGACACGAAAATTGTCCACCAAATGAAGGATACAATGCGTAAATTTCAAGCCTTTTTAGCAAACTTTGAGGTAAGTTTTAATTCTGTAGCTGTGACATAAGGGAATCTAATAGATTCCTGCAATTTGTGTGCAGTTAGCTGAATTGGCTACAAATTAATAATCGTTTTTTTGCGTTAATTAACGTCTTCATGCTTTTTGTCTAGGGAATAATTCTTGTGGAATTAAATAAAAAATCTTCCCTTCCACTTGCACTAGAAATGAGTCAAGGCTGTCCTCAATCTGATGCATGGTTACTTCTGAGAAGGCTGAAGTCTCTTCACCATCTACAAGTTCAAAACACTACGGATCCAATTGAATTATCCCCGTAATTTTCTGAATGACTAGCATTTCACAAATTGGCTGGGACAAAGTGTTTCTGGAAATGGTTACACACCAACCAAGCAAATAAAATGTGAATGAGGATATGCTATTGCAGGCCTTACATTTTCATGATGAAAGTAGTACCATTCTACAGACAGAATCTTCACCATAATACTCGCCTTCCATTCCAAGACCCTGGCATAGCTAAGATGAACATAGAAATTTGGCGATATGGCTTTATCAGAGAGCATTTGTTGCTGAACCAACATGTATTCAGCTAGTCTGCGTGAGTTGAAGGTTCAATTTTGATCCATAGATTATAGATTTAAGAAATGCATTATATAGTACTGGCCAGTGGAAAAGCGATAAATTGTTCGTGTTCATTTTTGCCAAAACAAAGGAATAGCCTTCTCTTCGATCTGAGTTCAACAGAAGAAGAAAAATCGGGGTTGAGGGATCTTACATGGCATTGGTCTACATTGAAAAAATGACGGATGACTCTTTGGGGAAGGAAAAAAGAAACCGCATTACGAAGTTATGAAAGGTTGCCTGGCATATACACCACTGGTGAAGCATGAATTAACTTCGCATATTTTAGTTGTTCTTGGTGCAAAGATGTTCCCATTGGAGGTTTATATATCGAATGATATTGTCTATTTTACGACTAAGGATGTATTGCAGTTATGTATTCTTGTAATTTTGAAATAAAACTTCTGTACTTTTGTAAAGTTTACTCTGACTTTTTCCTTGGCAATGTACCTCCGATATTATAATGATTAAAATAGTTCTGAATTTATTATTTTTTGTTTGTGGATGAATAGCTCTGAAGATTAATTATTTATAACTGTTTGCACCTCTCCCCTATTGTGTGAAGTACTCTTTCAATTTAAAAATAACATTTTTATAATTAAAATAAAAATAGAAAATATTTTCTTGATCTAGTCATTGAACTGAGCGATAGAGTGACGGTTGATTTCCTTCAAGAACAGTTAAGAGCCTGAGGGAATGTTGTCTAATATTTCCTCACCAATCTCAGCCATATGAATCGGTAGAAACGCTTGATGCCACACCATAAATGATTTTTTATTTTTTCACGAGGTGAAATAGCTTATTACAGTAGATATTATTTCCACATTAACATGGTTTCATATTGGGACTTCTCGCAGACTTGGGATACACATATTTCTTTAAACCTGTAAGATCAAGGACCTTCTTGCTAACTGGATCCTTCTCGGGAGACTTCGAAATTAGTGACTTGCGTTTAAAAAACCCCAACACTTCAGGGCAATATATCTGCCAATAGAACGTTGTCCTAAACCATGCTGGTTCTGTCAGGTACGAGTCCCCCCCGGCAAACGCTATTCACAATTGCATTGGCAGCTTCTGTCACTGATCTTATGGGCATCACACTAACTTGCATCTGTACCCAACAAACCATATGAATAAATTAATAAAAGCAATGCGTTAAGAAAACCAAATATTTACAAAGAAAAAGCAAGGACAAAACTTGAATTATTTTTCAATTATACGAATTACAGAAGTGGAGTTGCAGCTCTGATAGGACATTAGGAAATAACACGAAAAAATGTTAAAAATTGAATCTAAGTTTGTCTTAAAAGTAAGGATAGCTTACATCTGTTATTTGTTGATCAAAAACCATCTTGCCTTCCTTGGTTAGGATCTTCCCTTGAGACATTTCTGACTCGATCAACCCTGGAGTGACTATAGTTATTCCTATGTTTCTTCCCAATTCAGTTCTCAGAGTCTCATATAAGCTGATCACTGCTGTTTTGCTGGCCTAAAGAATTTAGAAAGCTATAAATTGGTCATCACTGGCTATAGATTGATACGAGAAAGATATCACAACGAAAACACCGCCAGCCCGCCGGGCCTAGCCCGTTTTGCCATCCCTAGTTAGAATTTGTTCATTTTTTGCTCATGATAATCTATATTTACTTAATATTGTGGTCACCTATAATGAAACTCTTAATACAGAATCTCGTGGTACTAAACTAAAATTGGACTCCCGAACAGTAAGTAGTTACTTCATTGGTTATTCTGAAAGAGCCAGGGGATATAAATTTTATGATTCCACATTAAAGACAATTTTTGAAATGGGAACTATTATGTTCTTTGAGGATATTGAGTTTGGGGGAAGAATAAGATTAAGAATTTTGTATTGGAGGAAGAATCGACAATAAATCCAGAACCAATTCAAAAAGTTACTTTTGATAAATTAAGTTCGGAATCTCCACAAGACATTGATGATAAACCCCATATTCAAGATGATTTGATTGTTCGTAAGACCAAACTCAAGATCCTCCAGAACCTGTGCGTCATGAGCCGGGGATACTCCAGTTACTAAGAGAGACAAGTTTAGTCTAAATTAGTGCCCAAAGGGAAATTTGGAAATTGAGGAAATGCAACAGATTCCCCATGCATTAGCTATCGGGAGTTTGATGTATTCCCAAATATGTACGCGTCCAGACATAACATACATATTTGGGGTTCTAGGCAGATATTTAAGCAATTCAGGAATAGACCATTGAAAAGCAGCAAAAAGGGTCATAAGATATTTAATGAGAACAAAAGATTATATGCTCACATACAGGTCGCTGGGTTTTCTGACTCAGATTTTGCAGGATGTCAAGAATTTGTAGCATGCTATGAGGCACCAAATCATGGAATATGGCTGAGAAATTTTGTCACAGGGCTGCAAATTGTGAAAGGCATTGAAAGACCACTTAAGTTATATTGTGACAATAAATCAGCTGTATTGTTAAGGAAAGAGTACAAAATGGACAGATTTTCATAGAACACTTAAGGACAAACTCCATGATAGCATATCCTTTAACTAAAGGACTTCCGCCCAAGGTCTTTCATGAGCATGTTGCTCACATGGGTGTTTTACAATTTGAGGAATTTGTGGTTTAGTGGGAGTTAGTCACTTTCATATATTTTATGTTCTATGTTTAATTTCATATATGTATATATTGATTTTTAGACATATTTGGTTATCTATAGATATGCGGTTTTTTCATTCATTCATTACACTTTGTACATTAAGAATATTATATCGATCTCGATAAGTTAAAGTTTGGACCAGTTGAAAATAGACGTGTACAGATCACCTTCACGTAATTTTCATGCTACACATTTCATGATGAATCCATGTCATTTGATTATGTTAGGATGAGTAATCATTGTTAGTTTTAATTGCGATGATGCAATGAAAAGCTGATTTGGTTCTATATCCTGATATGATTAATGGACAGGACTTTTGGAGTATGCTAAAGGACTATAATGACAATTTTGAGCTCATAAAGTCTAACACATTTGTAAGGTTGTAAGGACATATATATTTGTGACCAGTGGGAGATTGTTGGCAAAATTTGGGTCATGTATATATATGATACATAATTTAAATGTGTTAAGGTCATTATTTATTAAGCCAAATAATTAAATGATCTGACTAAATTAAAGTTTTGGCTAAAGGCATATGTCATGAAAATAAAATTGTGTAGAGACCATAGAGTAATTTCTAATTTGATGAGGGGTCAAATTGGAAATACTAAAACTTAAGTAATTAACCTAATTCTGGTTATATAAAGGGTCATGGTCCCCTTCTGGGAGCACACAAACATATTAAAACTTAAGTAATTAACCTAATTCGGGTTATATAAAGGGTCATGGTCCCCTTCTGGGAGCACACAGACGGAACGCAGTTACATTCCTGTTCTTTTCTTTCTATCCCCATCAAGAGAGAAAATCAAGAGGGAAATACAGGTACTCTTCAGGTGGAAGACCATAAGATCAATAGTGCTCTAAAAGGGACATCATCATTATGGCTAATTCAGGTACGCTTTCGCATTTAGTTTATAACATGTTTACAGTATAGGATTACTTTATATTTGATCTTTAGATTAAAGATCATATTTAATTATAAGTTTACCTAACAATTGGTATCAGAGTCAAGGTCACGAGTTCGATTCCTGGTAAGCAATTGTTGAGGGGGAGATTGTTGCGGGTTGTACAATTGTCCCGTGGCGGAGGCCGGGTGAGCCAAGTCACAATCCAAGAGTGGGATACCTTGTAGGACAATTGCTAAGGGGGAGATTGTTGTCGGTAGCATCAATTTGTAACGAAGGTCAAGTGGGCCGAGTCCCGAGTCACAATTGAATCGTGGAGTTACGCTCTGACTAATAACTATAGCTTTTGGCCTAGTGGTAAGCGCTCGATCCTACCAGTATCATCATGGTGTTCATAAAAAAATCAAGTATACTTAGTAACATCATTTTTCAATCTCGGAATCTAAATATCCAACTGATATCGGAACTTGTTGTGTCAGAAAATGTCCCAGATAGCTTATTTCAATTCTCCAATTATGACTTTTATATATATATATATATATATATATATATAGTTTTAGGTTAAAATCTAAGAATTTGATCCACTTATTTAGAGTGTATCATTGAGTGAAACAAAATATGGCGGGTTCTAATTGTGTATTTCTTGGAACTCTGCAATTTCTTGATAGACAAGAATTGGGACGAGTGATCTTTGTCATTCAAGAATCATGGTATATTGATATAGGATGTTTACTCTGTCATCAAGTCACCAATTTCCTAGCCCCATATATGGTCCTACAACTTTGTGGAGACTTATGTTTTTGGTAAACTGGACTTGGTCATTGCAACCCGTTTAAAAAGAGGCACCTTTACAACTTTGCAGAGGCACCTTTTCTCCTAAAGTTACCTGGCGGGTTACTTAGAGATAGCTGTCTAGTGTCCCTAAGTATTTTTAGTTATGCTGCGTTCTTGAATCGATAATTATCTTTCTGCTAACCTAGTCTCCTTCTTCCTTTGAAATTAACAAAGGTAATACCGGAATATTCACCTGAGAGGTGACCCTATGTGGACAAACCTTGTGGAGGAACTTTAGTTTTTTGAGGCATTGGATTCTCACATAATGTTTACATTACTCAAACTGACATAGAATGGTTAATTGACTTTGACGTAAGTGCGGAAAACAAAGTTAGATTTGCAAACAACAGTACGTGTTGGGAAGTTGCACGTACTCTGCCTCAATTCCTAGAGGCTCAAAACCAATATCGATGGCAAAGGGTCCACCTTTCAATTTTTTGAGATTGGCTTGGTAGCTACCACTTCTAGAATGCAAGCTTATCTTTTTTTAGATCCATATACTTGTTCAAATCCAATTGATTCCTTATGGGATCAACGAACAAAGAGAAGTTGCACTGCAGAACTTCAAGTTGTTGTTATTCTAACAAAAGCATTGAGAAAGATGTTAGTGTTACTTCTATGTAGTGTTTGAATTGAAGGGAAGAGTGTCTTAATTTCTACCTAGAATCACTATGTGTCTATGGTCCAACAAATAATCATGTGAAAATTTATAGAGATAATTTCAACTTTCACATCTCCTTGTCCAGATAAAAACTTACATCGTCCAAAGTGGTTGATTGTTGACTCAACAAATCGTTGGCAATCTTGGGCTCTTGAAACATCAGCAGGGATGGTGATCACATCAGGGGATCCAAGCAATTTGGCATACTCATATGCTAGGTGCTTTGGGAAACAAATCAGAAAAACACATAAGCAAACCCAATTTCATTCAGTTAATTACAAAAACTAATAAGTAGTTGGAAAGTAAATGGTTTAAAACATGCAAGAAACGTACCTCGCCTATGCCAGAGGATGCTCCAGTGATTAGTATCACTTTTCCTGCTACGTTCTCTCTAAAAAGTGATCTTACGATGAAGCGGAGAATCTTGAATAACATATATGGTGGTAAAATGAGCAGCAACAAAGCCAGGCTTAGAGGGGGAACGAGAATGTTCAACATTCCATGAATAAAAGCCATAGTTTCGGTAGAAGAAAGAAGAGATGAGACAAATGAAAGAGACAATGAAAACTTAGAGGGGGAAATAACACGTAGCACTTTTTTCCTTGGAAGCCGGATAAACATGTCAGGTCCGATATACGTATTAATTAAACGTGACAAAATAAGTATAATTCGATTTACGTTACGAAATAAGTAAATGATAAAATGGAATACCTATTAGAAGTGGCAAAATGGGTGATAGGAGGTATTACGTGATAGTAGTAGTTAGTGATAAGTCTTTAATCGTAAGGTTTTCAAAAGCACTAAGTTTCTCCTAATGTAGTATAAGGCAAACCTAAGTCAATATAAGGAGTATGACTACATGTGAACCATGCAAACATTCTCTCCGTGTATTAAGTAAAAACAGTTTAGGGAAAAAAAAAAGTAATAAAATGAAATCGTAAATGCTGGAACTAAAAACTAGTAAGGCAAAGTAAAAACTCAATGAATGCATAATCACTAAATCAGAAATCAATATCAAAACCTAATGAAAAGAAAACTATAAACTGTAGCAAAATTTAAATGGTATGGGTTTGAAATTGAAAAATAAAAATTAAATTGAAGACCGTATTAAACCATAGACTAATTTGTTATAGAAAGTTTGTAGAATTAGAAATGGAGAGTTAAGGACAGTAATGGCCAACAATAATGAATGAGAAATGGTATTGAAAAGCTAAAAGGAAAAATGCATTAAAGAGACTGCAAAAATTTGGAACAACTTTGGAAACAGGAATCTCAAATAAATCAGAAACTAAAATGTAAAAGTGCAATTCAATAGTAAATTGGTGTGCATATATATATGATTAGAGACATGAAACAACAAAGACAATCTAAAATTATAAACGGAATCGTAATATGCTCTGAGACAGTGATTGAATTCGAGATTGAATATAAAAAATCGAAAATTGTAACAAAATCTCAGTAAGAAAGAAAGTGTAAGACAATAATTGAATTTGAAATTAAATACAGAAGATAGAAGAATTGTCACTCGTGGATACGATGAAGTATTCCTCATTTTTATTGTAAAGAAATCAATTCTAAAATCTTTGAACATGAAGAGAATAGTAGATCTATCATGTGCAGAAAGCAAAACAAAATTATAAACAAAACTGATAACAAGTGCAGAAGTTACGTATGTTGATTAGTGAAATTGACTGAAATTGAAGTGGATTGACATGTAAGCATGCAGAAGAAAGGTGCGAAAATTTAAGAGAAGAATTGGAATGGACAGAATTCTAAAGAAAATAACAGAAAACAAAAAAAAAATTGTTGAAAAAAGCCTTGAACTGAAACTGCATTAAATTGTTGAAAAAAAGCCTTGAACTGCATTGCATTGAGGTGTAAACTGATTTATGAATTTAAGTGTGTCAAGTATGCTGAAAAAAAGTTATATTTATAGATTGAGAACTAAACTAAATTACAATTGAGCTAGTTAAATGTAATGATTGCATTGCTCAAGTGAAAATATACTATTGATCTAAACAAAATAAATTAAAATTTCCTAAAACTCAAACAATCAATTAGGCTAGTTTAATACCGGTGTTCCTTGTCTAGTTGAATAGTCCCTCCTTCAATTTTATTTTCCTAAAAAAACACCAACAAAACAGGATAATAATATAATTTTTATCTAAAATAAAAGAATTAATACAAATTTAGTAAAATTATTATTTAAAACAGAAAATACAAATCTTACCTAACATTATAAAATAACAACATAAAATATCCTAAATTAAAATAAAATAATTAATACATATTTAATAAAATTCTTATCTAAAGCAAAAAATACAAATCTTACCTAACATTATAAAATAACAACATAAAATATCCTAAACCTATTCAAATAGCTATTAAAACAAAAAACAAAAACTTATGAGTTAGGCATGACATGTCAGATATGATCACAGATACATGTTAATTAAACATGATAAAATAAATATAATTTGATGTTGTTGATTAGAAGAGACAAAATATATTATATAATGTGATATTAATAATCAAGCATCCCTAAATGGATATATGTTAATTAGATGGTAAAATAAATGTGATTTGATGTTGTTGATTATAAATGGCGAAATAAGTCCTACAATGTATGAAGAAAAATAAAATTATTGATATGTCAAAGAAAAATAAAAGAATAGGACCATGCTACATATTTGATTAATGCATGCTACTGTGTTATCCCAATCACTCTGTTTTTGCTTGGTTGATGGTGTTTTAAGTGATCAAATACAATTTTAAAATGTACGTTAAAGTCCAACTCAAATTTATAAACCTGATTGATAAAGTGAGGATTGTCCATTACAGGTTTTCATCAATACCATGTTAAACAGGTATAAAATATTGCCAGGATGAGATCCATGATGATCATTTCAAATTTTCTCCTATTACATGATAATGGCCACAGTAGGGAAAAGAAAAAATACAACAGAAGAGTAAAGTTAATATTTTTTTATAATGTTGTATCTTCCTCGGTCACAAACTGCAGCAACACTTTATTCCACCTTATTTTCTGACATCATGTGATTGGCTTCCATGTTAGACTTGTTTGGAGAAGACCCAAAGAACAAGCGACAGGCCCAATCCACCGTCTGAGGATAAAGCACCTTGCAAGGAAACAACATTTTGAACCAGGATGGGTTTGTAACGAACATGTCTCCCCTGCATGCACCTTCAACTATGGCTTTTGCACATTCACTACTTGACGCCAATGGAATTCTTCCCTCAAGACCCTGGATTGCAACAAACATTGAACAATTTCGTTGAAATAATTTGTATTTCCGAACTGTATTAAAAGATAATTATATTCTTAGTCTATTAAATTTGGTTGTTGAAATTTCTCTAACAACAATGGAGTAGACATTAAAACAATAGTATTTCTCATAATCATATTTCAATCAAATTTTTAAATAATATATTTAAAATAAAAATTTATTTAAATAAAATATTTGAAAGTTTATTTATTGTTCATATATAAAATTTAATAATAATAATAATAATAATAATAATAATAATTTATATAATATAATTATTTTTTCTCTTTTCTTATTTATTTTTTTTACTTTTTTCTGTTTTCATTTTACGTATTAGTATTATTATTTTCTTATTTCCATATTTGTTTTCCTTTTACTCTTTTTCTCTTTTGTCCTTTCTCTCATTCTTCTTATTCTTTTAATTAAAAATACTAAATTAAAATTTGATAAAATGAGTTTTTTATTGTTTTTAAATAAATTAAAATATTTAAATTATCTAAAAATACTATAATTTAATATATTAAATTTAAAAATATTATATTATAAATGTGACATATTACAATTATATTATAATTATTAAAACAATTAAATATTTATTTTAAAATAATTTATTAATAAATATTTTTTAAATTTCTTAATATGACTAATCTTTATAATTTAATCTAATTATAATTAGATTATATTAATCAATAAAAAACTATTTAATTCATAAATATTTAATATTTTTAATTAGATAAATAATTGATTTATTATGTTAACATAATTTAAAATTAATTATTTACTATCATAAGAAATAAAATTATTTACTGTTATAATGAATAAAATTATTTATTATAATCATAATTTTAAATAATTAGCAAATATTTTTTTAGTTTAAATATCAAATTTAAAAAATTATATTAACATAAATTTATTTAAATTTTAATATAAATAAATATATATATATATATATGAGACATTCATTTATTTTAAAAAAAAGAACTAAAATATTACTTCTTATTTATATTATTTTTATTTTTTTAGTTTAATGATCTAAATTAATAAATTATTTTAACCATTCGATAGAAAATTAACAAGACGAAGCAGAAATCTTCTCTTTCCACATGTAAAAAAACATTAATAAAAATATAAATTCAAATATTTTTAAATATATTAAAATCAAATATATTGGAAAATAAATATATATGAGAAGCAAGTCAACCTTTTCATGTTTAATGGCCTTCAATGCAAGGTCCGTCTTGATCATACCGGGCGTGGCGATTGTTATGCCAATGTCCCCACCAACTTCCAATCTCACACTTTCAAAGAAGTTTATTACTGCTGCCTTACTCGCCTGCACTTACCATTCAACATCAGGCTCAACAAAATTTATGTTAGACTCACAAATTTGAATTATTACTAATCTTACTTTCAAGCATAACAATTTTTAACAAGCATAAGTTATAATTTGGCTAAGTTCAAGCATTCAATTTAGGAGTAATTCAATTTTTAAAAACTAAAATTTATCTATTTTTAACAACCCTAATATGTGATTAACTTCAAAATATCTTTGCCTAGTTTGAAACTATTTCAAAAACATTTTTCACAAGTCTGAAATGAATGTCCAAAGTTCATACACTGTAGAAACCTATCCTTGGTACTGGGAACCATCCGGAAACTGAAGCAATCACTACGATCCTCCCTTTGTTCATTTTCAGATGTGGGATTGCATGTAATGTCCCATTAACTGCTCCCCAGAAATTTACATCCTGCCAATTATATCACAAACTTGCTTTTAGAAAAACTACTTTTTTAGAACTAGTCTACATAAAGTCATTGTCAAAATCCTATTATAAATTATGTCCTCAACAAGGTAGAAGCATACAACTTCTGGTAAAAAAATTGCCACTTAATTGCATATAATGTCTTATCAATCCATTTCATGGCTCACCATAACTTGAGTGTATTCAGAAATATCACGCAAATTCTCCACCTTTACAGGCTTAGGACAGATTCCCGCATTATTTACCAGATGATCCACTGCACAGGACACCAAATCTATCAATTTAATGATAAACTAGAGAATAGAAATGAATCCACATACAAAAAAAATACAAGCATACGTCTTCCAAAGTATTTCACAGTTTCATCAACAAAGCGTTTGCAGTCTTGGACCTTGGATACATCAGCACCAATGATGGTAACATCAGGACAACCCAGAGATCGTGTCTTATCAGCCACTGCCACAAGTTTCTCCTCTCTAATGTCAACCAAGGAAAGCTTTGCCCCTCGCCTTGCATATTCGTAAGCGATTTGCTTTGCAAAATGAAGAAGAAACGCTCATAAGCAAAATTCCAAAAACAATGCATTTTTAAAAATAATAACTTTGTACACTAACTGTGTGTGATTAGGTGAACAACATTAACAGTGAAGATGGTAAAAGAAGAAGAGATTCAGACAGACCTCGCCAATCCCTGAGCCTGCTCCGGTGATTAATACAACTTTGTTTGCCACGTTTTCTTTGTAAACAGATTTTTTTACATACATAAGCTGCTTGAATATGAGCGAAGGTAGCATGCAAACACAGAGGAGAATTAGTGTTAATGGAGGCACTGCAAGGTTCAGTAGCTTGGTAACTCCATCCATGGCTTAGTGGGTTTTGAATTTCTAAAAAGATTGAAATCAAATTAGCACTTCCAAGCTAGATCCAAAAGCTTGTCTTTAAATAATGTTTATATATATATATATATATAACAACAAAAAACCAGTAGGTGGATGTGATCTAATACGAAACCTTCTATGATGCAGCCACACCAACGGTGTGATTTCGGTCATCATTGTACTTATCAATTTTCAGTACGTATTTATTTAAAATATATTACTCTACATGTTAAAACATAATTTACTAGAAAAAGGAGAAAAGAAACGGCTTTTGAATTACATTATATTCACAGTTTAATTTTCTTTTCATATCATTGAATAATGATTTTTCAGAAAATTATGATATACAATAATAGTTTAACTATGATATACAATATATATATATATATATATATATATATATATATATATATATATATATATAATATAAATATAAAAGTTAACTAATATACTATTGTTTTATGCAGTAAAAAATTTATTTATTTTGCGAAAGTTAAATTTCCTCTTTCTTATGGAAATGATTGTGTGTGAGATTTAAGAATGTATTTTCCGTGAAAAATATATTATTTTATGATTCAAAAATATTTTCCTAGAAGTGTGAAGAAAAATCTTTTTAGAGAGATTACGGAAAATCTTACTCTGAAATCTCATAATAATTAAAAATACGACAAAATTTAATGAATATAATCCTTACTCAATCATTTTATAAAATATCTTATCATATTTAAAATTTTATTTTAGTGTTTTTAAATATATATATTTTTCAATCCTCAATCTGTTACAAAATCGTGAAGAAATTACAAATTTGGTCACATATAACCTATAATTAATTAAGCTGTTAAAATAAATAGAAAAAAAAATTATTACCATGAATAAGTTGATTACGACTTTTTCTTAAAAAAATTTAAATTTTTATTATGATAAATAATTTAAAAATATTAAAAAATAAAATTATTATTCTTTCATTTATCAAAGTCTCCAAAGTTATATATTTAATATCTTCTTCACATAATAGTAAATAACATTTTTTTTAAATTTAAAATATTCTAAAATGCAACTTCTAGTCCTTAACTTATAAATTTGTACACATAATAAAAACCAATGTTGTTTCTGTGTCATTTAAAAACTATTATATACATTAACTTTTTATTCAATGCTTTTATATAAAATATTAAATATTAAGAATGATTTAGAAAATATTAAGAAAATAATATTAAAATTTCTGTAAATAAGTAATTTTCATTTTTAAAATAACTTTATATATAAAATCAATATTAAAATAATATTCTTTTATTCCTAAAAACTCTGAAAAATATACTTAAAGTTAGAGTCATGCACGAAAATATACAATGGACATGTTGCAAATGATGTCAGGACTAGCGGAGTTGGATGGGTTGGGTTAGTAGGTAAGGAAATTAAATGTTCGATTGATAACCACGAATATAATAATCACACAACATTAAATAAAATAAAGTACAATTAAAATTTTGCTATTTATATTTTTAACTAATTTAATTAATTTTCAAAAATATATAATTTTATTTTTTTATACTTAAATTTAATATTTAACAATAAATTTTTAATTTGATAAATAAAAAATTAAATTTTATTTTTATCTTTTTTCGTATTTAACTTTATAATACTCAATAAAAAATATAATGATAAAAAAACTAAATTTACACTTTTTAATTTAAAAATTAATTAACTTAGTAATAATAAATATTCCATTTTTAAATAACTTTATTAAAATATCATCACTTCTTTAATAAATACATTATTTTTATTGAAATAAGAAAAATAATTATATTTTTTAACTGATGATAAGAATATTTAATAAAGTTTCATGGATAGAGACAAATGAAATTAATGGCTCAATAAATTATGAAAACGAGTCATTTCTAATTTTTTTTTCAAATGTCTAAATTTATAATCATTCTATAACGTGGAAGGCATGTAGTTTTGAATAGCATCAACAGGAATAAAATTTAGGGAGATGTTTATTTTGAGCATTTTTTATTTAAAAAATGAAGAAAAAATTAATAGTTAGTTGATTTTTTTTTAACTTAAAAAAAACACCACATTTAAAAAATATTTTTAATTTTATTTTGTTTTAAAAAAATATACGTACTTTTATTTTAAAATAAAATCAAGAATATACCTTCTCTGCTTTTACATATTGATATACTTACTATACATATATATTATCAAACATATTTTTTTTATAGGATCACATAATGGTCGATCCATCCCATTTTACCCTATCTTACATTTGACCTGTTAAAAAGTGAGAGGGCTAGTCCATTATAGGTAGGATAGATTATAGGTTCGATCCATGCTCTGTCATATTTTTTATTTTATTTTATTATTTTAAAATTAAATATTTTAATAAATTTAATTATAAAATTATCATTGTAAATAATTTAAATAAAAATAAATATATATATATATATTTAAATTTAATAATATAAATTGATATATTATTTTAATAAATTATATTTTAAAATAATTAAATTAAGATATATAAATAATAAATATAGTAAATATTTATTAAATTTTTATTTTTTATATTAAAAAGTTTAAGCATTTAAATAAAAATTACATTTTGATAAAACTTTTTATTTATTTGATTATTTGATAAAAAAAATTATTTATTTGATAAAACTTGTAATTTTTTGTTCTCAGAGTAATTTTTGGATCACATACATGCATCACAATAATACATCCATCACAATAAAAAAATAATTTCTTGGACTTGACGAGACGAATCATGTCATCCCAATTTCTTTCTCTATATTTTCTTGTAACCTCATTTCTTATCTATATTTCTTTCTCTATATATCTTTTCTTGTAGTACCTCATTTCTTATCATTTTGTAAGTGTTTTTTTAGTGTAAATAATTTTATTTTAATTTTTTTTGTAAATGTAAATTAATATTTTGGGTGTCATCAACTTTTTCCTTGAAATTAAGTATATTTTAGGAGAGGAGCATATGTGAGAGAATTCGAAAATGCTAAATTTTTTTTTTCATTTTGTAAATTGAAATTCACGAACATATTTCATCAACTTGTATTAAAAATAGTCTCGATATCATTTGAACAAGAGCAAGAAAATAAGAGAGGGATGGATATAAACATAAGAAATGTAAAAACATGCAACAGGATGAAGATGAATTATTCATATATACAAACATAGAAGGGTTAAATTGGTCGGTTCTCTTGGCCACCCTTAAACTTCTATATGTTTTGATTTGATTCGATGAATCACTCAGTCTTTGACATCAGGAGATTGGATTGAAGAAGGATAAAATATTTTCTTGACTCTTGTCAAAGCTTCCTTTGCTGGTGTACTTTCTGAGGGAGTCAGATACAAGGTTCTCAAGCTTCACTTCATCAGATTTTATATATTCCGTGTCATAATTGTTACACATATTTCGGATCAACTTCAACCATTAGTGTCTCGTAGTACATACTAATGTGGTTTTAGTTGTAAACCATTTGCATTCGTGATTATTATAAAGAGTCACTTGTTTTGTAACCATATTAATAACGTTACCTCACTTTACACTGTAAATGTATTTTCTAGGTACAGGTATCCAAGCATCCGCTGAAGATATAGTCACAATTTTGCCTCGTTGTAAAATAAAATGGGTTGTGTAAAATGATCCCAAGAGTTAGTTTCCAATAGAATCACAAAGGAAACAAATTTTCAGCCATAAACTTGATAGCGATGGACCTTGTAGCTGAAAACTCAAATTAGTCCTAAAACTCAAGTATAGTTGGAGGGTTAAACATAAACTCATAAGAATTGATAATCCATTTTAAGAAATCCATCCTATAAAAAGGTAACTGAGTTTATAATTGATTTTTTTTTTCATTTATTTTAATGGGGATTTACACTAACATTTCAAAGGACGACAACGATTTTCAAGCTTCAAACTGGACATACCAAAAGTTATGAAAGAATTGTTACAAAATTAACAATGTAGCAGCAAAGAACATGGTAGAGGGGAGAGAAAAATACATGAAATATGTATAGCTATAACTATAGAGGAAAAACATTATTTTGATTAAGCACTTATATGAACTAATTAATTAATTAGCTTATAGGTCTCAAACTTGAAATATCGTGTCCTTCTCCAAACAAGGAGGCAATGCTTTACAAGATGATTCACTACAACATACACATAGAAACGCAGGTATATGTCTAATATACTATTAGTGAATTAGTTAGAATAATAAACTTTGAACTTGTATTTTTCAAAATGTTCACAGTAATCGATAAATATGTTTAATATACCATTAATATTTTTGCTTGTATTTAATATTAATGACTATTAAATATTAATGATTGTGTCCCTGAATATATTAATGGTTATTAAATACTCCACAGTTTTAAATAGAAAACATGATGGGAGCATTAATAATTGTGATCTTTGTCTCTTGAAGAATATGTTAATTAATGAATATATTAATAGTTATTAAATACTATGTTCATTAAATATAAAAATAATTATAATATTGTTAGTGAGAAATCTATAAAAGGATCGAGAAAGCGAAGGGAAACAAAAAATCGAAAACTATACAAGTGATTAACAAGTCGATGAAATTGCTAAAACACTTGGTAAACACAAAGACAAAAAACATATCGAGAATGGGAATCGAAAATCGAGGGAATAACGCTTAACGTCCGTTGGTGAAGAAAATCAAGAAAACAAAATCTGGTAACGTTAAGGATATCGAAAATCAAAAGCAAATCCAAAATTCTCGAAGTTGCGAAATCTAAATCGAAGGAAAGGCTAATATACGTGAATATCGAAATTTTGGCTAAGAAGAACGGTCGACATATACATCGAACATAGTAAGCGGTAGCAAAAGTCGAAGGTCAAGGGAGCGGTTACCTCATTCATGGGAACGTGGATACAGTTTCTAAACCGCAGAGCTAGGAACAAAACTGCAAAAGACGTGCACAGAGAACGTGGTAGTAGT